GGGCCGGGCTCCAGGGGCGGGCCGGTGCGCGGCCTCCCGCCGCCCCGCCCTCTCCGGGCCCCAAGCTCCGTGCGCCTCGCCCTGGGGTCAGCGGAGGGCGCGGCTCCGAGCGGCCGAGGCTGCGAGCCTGCGCCCTCGGCCGCCCCCTCCTCCGGTTGCCGGAGCTCATCCACCGTTTTTAAAGGACGCCAGCACAGTGGTGATTGCGGGGTGGGGGTGAGGGGGGCGAGCCAAGGGCCCCCGCAGCGAAGAACTTCCAAGTCGTTTAGGAAGACGCCTTTAGCCCACGATTTCACTGGGTTTACAAGGTGCAGAGCGACTGGCACGGTCCTGGCTCCCCTCCCCACGCCACTCTGAAAACTCTGTGGTCCCCTGCTCTGAGATTCCCCCAGCTTCTCCCTAATCTCCTTCCCCCTACACTCGGCTTTTCTCAACAAGTGTTTTCGGAGCGTCCACTAGGTTTGCGACAGACCCCAAGGGAGCTGTTGGGTACCGGGGTAACCGGATTCGGGGCGGAAGGCTTACCTTGAGCCTGGCCAGTGAGCTTCCCGTCTGTCAGGTGGCTCCTGTCCCCTGAAACTGATGAGGTATGACTGGTCTTGGTCACTCAGATGTGGAAGGTGGGTTCGGGAAGAGACTGGCAGGATCCCTAAGCGCTGGAAGCCACTGGCTGCCTTTTCTTCTGACTGATCCACATTTGTTAATTATTTTTGTTTCTTTTATCTGCTTATGGTTCAAATCTATTCCAAGAAAATAAACACTGTGCTCGGGCTGCGTGAGCCAGGGCGAACCCGAAGTGGAGTGGACACAGGGATTCTGCACCCTCTTGACTCAGGACCCCTATTCAGAAACGCTAGAACCAGGCACCCTCTCTGTTCATCTCCTGGCGGTAATTGGACTACCCAGCATTCTTGCTATGATTCCCTTTTACCAGGGCACAACCCGTCCCAGTTCTCTTGACCCATTTTAGTAATACTGAGTAGAGGTTGTAGACAGTGTTCTTTGTATTTTAGAAAGATCTTCAGAAACTGGTAGTAAGTCAGTGGTAAATGATAAGGCTAAAGTGTAGCATTATTATTTAGTACTACTTTCATTGATAGGTTTTATTTGTGGAGTTGTCTGCATGCTTTAAATGGAAAGCATTGCTGTGCTTTAGCTATCACTTTGAAAAACTGTGCAGAACACATTTTATTCACATTCTTCCAAAATCAGACTTTAAAAAATTTCTGGAGAAATAATCTGAGGGTTAGCTGATATGAGAGGATATGATATGTAAAATATGGCCATATATATATTTATATATATTACATAATATATCCTAATATATTACATAACACTTGTGGTAACACCCAGTATTTTTTGAGAACATTATCAAGCCATACAATTGTATCTGAACTCCTGTTTAGCAATACTGAATCTATACCAACCTGTTTTTTTTCTCATTTTAATCTGTATCTTTAAAAGCATCTCTCTTCAGATCAACCAATGACTTGGCTAGATTCTTTTTTTTTTTTTAGTGTAAAAAATTTGTTTTAATGTTTATTTGTGAGAGAGAGAGAGACAGACTGCGAGAGGGGGAGGGGCAGAGAGAGAGAGAGAGAGAGACAGAATCAGAAGCAGGCTCCAGACTCTGTGCTGTCAGCACACAGCCCGATATGGGGCTCAAAACCACGAACTGTGAGATCATGACCTGAGCTGAAGTTGGATGCTTAACCAACTGAGCCACTCAGGCGCCCCTAGCTTCTTTATCATAAATCAAATTTCAAATACTTATTCAATGTCTACTATGTTTTAGACATTATACTTTGACCATAAAACTCGTGTGGCCTAGTGGAAAGACCACAATGTATTGTGGTAGGTGCTAAAATATGGGTGTTGAGAACTGTACAGGGTCTGAGATTCTAGCCTCTTAGAAACTAACAGATTAGCCTGTTACTGTTTCATGGATGCTATCAAAAGACACAAGACTCCTGGGTCAGAGACAAAGGACTTTATTAGTTATTGTCAGAGTTTCATGTTGGTTTGTGTTGGACCCCCATGTTCCCTGATCTGGGCAGAATTGTGTTTCTCCATAATCCATATATTGAAGCACTAAGCTCCATTACCTCAGAATGTGTATTTGGAGGTAGGGCCTTTAAAGAGATGATTAAGTAAAAGTAGGCCGTTCGGATGGGCCTCAATCCAATCTAACTGGGGGTCCTTAAAAGAAGAGATTTGGGGGCGCCTGGGTGGCTCAGTCGGTTGAGCATTTGACTTCTCGGTTTTGGCTCAGGCCATGATCTCACAGTTTGTGGGTCTGAGCCCTGCACTGGGCTCCGTGCTGACAGTGCAGACCCTGCTTGGGTTTCTCTCTCCCTCTCTCTCTCTGCCCCTCCCCTGCTTGCTCTCTATCCCTCTAAATAAATAAATAAATAAATAAATAAATAAATAAATATTAAGGGAAAAAAAAAGATTTCAATTTGTAGCTGATCTCTTAAGCAGAGGCACTGGAAACTTCACCATCATTTGCTTTATAGACTGTAAATGGAGGATAATTACACAAAACTCTCTGGTGCACTATACAGGCTTGCTACAGTTCGTAAGTGGCATCTCTGCCCTTGGTTTCTTTTTTTTTTTTTTCAACGTTTATTTATTTTTGGGACAGAGAGAGACAGAGCATGAACAGGGGAGGGTCAGAGAGAGAGGGAGACACAGAATCGGAAACAGGCTCCAGGCTCTGAGCCATCAGCCCAGAGCCTGACGCGGGGTTTGAACTCACGGACCACGAGATCGTGACCTGGCTGAAGTCGGACGCTTAACCGACTGCGCCACCCAGGCGCCCCTCTGCCCTTGGTTTCTAGGGTATCTTTGTATCCTTGTAATAAATTACTCTTCTGACTTTAGAGAATTGTCTTTTTCAGTGTCATTAATTAATAAAAACCTTACATGGGGTTAGAGGAGCTTAGACCCCATAACATGTGTGAAACATTATTTCAATAATATTTAACACCTACTTCAAGTCACGCATTCTCCAGGGTGCTGGGGATTTAAAGTCAGTGTCTGCCCTTTTATATAGTGCAGTTCCTAGCATGGGTTTTAGATTGCGAGACAAGTGCTTTAAATATTAACTTGCTTTTAGAACCTCATCATATAGGGGTATTTCCACCCCAGGCACAACTCCTCACTGGTCCAGCCTGAGTCAGGGACCCATCTCCGAAACAGTCAACTGTGCTCACACTTAGTGTCTTGTAAGAACATCGATTCTTCCACAATAAGCATGTATGTGGGGATGGTGGTGATGACGAGTGTCTGTGTGTATAAGAGAGAATGAAGTTCCCAGAGGAAAGGAAAAAAAGTGACTGCTGGTAAGACCATCATATCGGTCTCTGTTGCATACCTCCAAAACATTTCTAGAACTTCTTCCAAGTTTACTCCAGACTGGAATGACAGGAAAACTTGGAAAGAGTGGTCGGGGAAAAAAGCATGAGCTCAGAGGGAAAATTAGTACCAGCATTCATTTTATTAAAACAGAACATTTCCGGGGTGACTGGGTGGCTCAGTCGGTTAAGTATCAGTTCAGGTCTTGATTTCAGCTCAGTTCGTGATCTCATGGTTTGGTTAGAGAGATCAGAAATTGAGCCCCTTGTAGGCTCTACCCTTCGCCCCATCAAAATAAATACGCTTAAAAAAAACCACAACAACACAATATGTCATGAAAATTTAAATAGAAATTAAAGGTTTTTTTCTTTACCTTTTAACAGAAAATAACAGTAAATATTCTCCTGGATAGTAAATCTTTAAAACAATTATCTTTAATTCTTTATCTATATACCGATATATAATTCTAAATGCACAAATATAATCATAGTTGTACATACACACGTATATTTCTACATATTCTTTTGTGGAGGTGATCTTGGCTACCCTTTCTCTCTCCCTTCCGTTGTTAAATATACCTCCCAACCCATACCTGGCCACAAAGCAAATGACATATTAGCCTCTTCTGTATCCTCTCATATGTACACATGCATATGCAGGTTTTTTATTAATGCTTGTTAGAAAATGAGATTTTGCTTTTCTCACTCAATAGTACTAATACAAATTCTCCTAAGTCAACTGATACAGTTCTATTTTATTCTTTTTAATGGCTTCATAATATCACATAGGTGGATGTTGCATCATATTTTCAGTCATTTCTTTTTTTCTAATTTTTTCTTAATGTTTACTTTTTTTTTTAATTTTTTTTTCAACATTTTTATTTATTTTTGGGACAGAGAGAGACAGAGCATGAACGGGGGAGGGGCAGAGAGAGAGGGAGACACAGAATCGGAAACAGGCTCCAGGCTCCGAGCCACCAGCCCAGAGCCCGACGCGGGGCTCGAACTCACGAACCGCGAGATCGTGACCTGGCTGAAGTCGGACGCCCAACCGACTGCGCCACCCAGGCGCCCCTTAATGTTTACTTTTAACACAGAGGGAGAGAGAGACGGAGACAGAGACAGGGACAGAGACAGAGAGAGACAGGCGTGAGCCAGGGAGGGGCAGAGAGAGAGAGGGAGACACAGAATCTGAAGCAGGCTCCAGACTCCGAGCTGTCACCACAGCCCCCAACACG